CCGGCGGCGACCAGGTCAAGACGGCCAGGTTGAGGGAGATCCGTTCTTGGTTTGACAACACAAGGCAGATGAACTGGGCGGCAAGGTACATTTATATGTTGTAGGATTGGATAGATCAAGGTACAAGAAAAAGCCCAAGAAGGGTAAAAGAAAAAGCCCAAGGAGAAGGGAAAAGCATGTGTCCTCCTGTATTGTTGGAAATTCTTCGAGACTAATGAGAAGTAGAACATGACAAATAGGGAGGCTCCTCCATACCACTTCTTTCTCTCTTGAGTTTGATGATGGTGCCGGCGGTGGTGGTGGTGGTGGTGATGATGATGAGTGGATGCATAGGAGTCCTACACCCGGATCAAGTATGGGGTGCCGGACAAAGAGATCGACGAAGATGCTCAAGATATAAAGAGATGTGGGGGCTGATAAGTACAAGATTGCAGAGATGAAAAGTCAAGGAAGGAATTGGTGGAGAAGAGCAAACAAGAGAAGCTGGAGTTCGGGAAGAGGAGGATACAAGAGAAGATGGAACGATGGGAACAAATTAATGGAAGTAAAATGCGAGATGGATGCACATAGGCTTCAACTTATTGAATACAATCAATTGATGCAGGAGAAGATGGCTGAAAAGAACTGGCTCATGATGTTAGAAATTCCATGTATGAAACATCAAGAAGATTTGGGGAGATGAGTCTAGCAGAGATCGTGACTTCTAGGATGCCATGGAGTTGCTAGTGCACCGGAGGAGGGGGCGATGCACAAATGGGAGGATGCCGTGCTCTTGACGACATGTGATTTTTACATATCAGCTGAATGTGTGCATTATGATTCATCTTTTGTTTATGCATTTGAAGCCTACGAGCATTGCTTTTGCCTTAAGTTTATATTATGTCTAAATTTGAATTTGAATCTTGAACCTGTCGATTTGGTTTGAACTGCTGGTCAAGTGTGTGTGATGTTTAACAACGACAAGCTCGGCTTATATATGTGTGAAAACTCGGGATTGATTAGAGTGCACAGATATAGGAAAGATAAATTTTTCAAGGTTGCATGTTTGCAACTTTGAGTTTACACACAGCCTCTACGTTTGGCGAGTTTGAGTTTGCGCACAACCTCTGCAACCTTAAATATTTTTTGGAGGGTCCCCAAAACTGTTTTGGAGGCCGTGAATACGGCTGATCTGCTAGAGTTGTTCTAAGACTTTCAACTTCACACCTGAGAACTGTGATGTTGTGTACTTGCATGTCTACTCTTACAGATATGGGAACAAATAAACTGAACCTCCACCGAACAAGAGAAAAATAAAGGTTATTTGTGCCCGTGATTAAATACAAGATGGAATACAGAAGTATTTACAAGCATAATAATATTATTTCTATGTCAGGCTTAATAAGGTTCAAGACCTAATACTAAGTACTCCTGCAGTTGAAATTAATACTCATCACACTCCGGCAACTTCTGTTGTTCACCGTACATTCTCAGATCATCTGCAAACTGCACGTCTCTCCTAAAATCGAAGATGAAATCTGTGTCTAGCATTCCATCTGTGTTCATTGTTCCACCGTGAGTAATATCACCATCACACTCAAAATAGTCTGTTGAATCTGGATAAACAATCTTCCTCGCGGATCCCTTTCCATAGAAGCAACGGCCTGTCACCAAAACCAGAATTGATTATGTATCAGTCACAAGAAAACAGCTCCGACAGTAATTCTTCCAAGTGAAATGTTTGGCAAACCATGTCTATTTTGCATTGGTTCCACTGACCACACCATAAAACAGTGGCAGTTTTAAGCAACCATGCTTGACACAATAAAGGTTACTAGACAAAGTGTATCCGTAAAACATCTTAAGATGCTGAAATTTTCTGCACGCGATCAGCAGCAAAGCTGCAAGAACACACAAATGTTTTAATTTATTTCGGAATTGCTACATATATTCAAGTTATATTGATCGATAACATGGCCTAAATGTTGTATAGCAAGATTCAGAGGTGTACACAAGACATGAAACCGAATTAGGTAAGCCAGATAACATGATCTCAGCTGCGGGCACAAGCCATTTTATTAACTCAAGAATAAGACTTTTCGACAAGAGAGTTAACATGATTGCAGCAAGCATAAGGCTTTTCGACAAAGCATAAGGCCTTTCCTATGTTTGGACGAAACAAGCAAGCATCATTGGTTGCAGAAAAATAAGAATAAGCATCGTAGGATCAAAAGACGAAAAGGTCGTAGAAGAAATCATAAGGCTTTTCGACAAATCAGGGTGGAAATTCTCCTCTTTAATTTTCAAAACCTGCATTTTTTTAAACTGAGGCAAAACTTTTGCCTGGTTGATAAATTAAGGAGAAGAGAATTGCCCAGTTAATTTATGGAAAACCGGACGAAAACCAAAAACCTGCGTATATAGCTGCTCAAGGAACGGGGACTTACTGGTGTGTGTGAAGAGTAGAGGGCAGCAGAAATTTGGTTCTGTCTTCTGATAGGGAAACGAACAATTGACTTGGGCGAAGAAAAACTAGTTATGGGCCCCTGATTTGGGAGCAGCCACAAAGTTAATGTGGTAGCATTCCCTGCCCAAGGATTCCGAAGCGGACTCCACGCCACAGGTAACACTCGTTGCATACTTTGGTTCCTAAAACAAGCAGCAACAAAGGTCAATTAATACAGAAATGTATGGAATATATATGTACTACGTATGTACCAACTAAATAACAATGAACACAAATAAATTAAAGCCAGGTTGATGTACCCGAGGATGCTCCGATGCATATTTTTGCAGTGCTTGTGCGACCCGAGAGCGAATGTGTTGGGGATATAACTATTAGGTATGACCCGCCCACGAGGGGCCGGGCTATACCTATGGCGATTCATCATATGAAGCCCACGAGGATATTGAAGATGGCGGTTTAGTTAAGGGCCCAAGGCCCAAAGGCGACTTAAAGCCCGTAGGGGTAAACCGCCATATATGTAAAGACTTGCATTGTAAAGCACGTAAAAGTAGTCACCGAGCCGGACACTTATCTATGAGCCGGCCGGGACTCCGTGAGCCGCTGGGCGTCAACCTGTGTATATAAAGGGAAGACCTGGCGGCGGTTCAAGACAAGAAAGACAACAGATCGAAAGCTAGGTCAAGCGGATTCACTCCCTGGTAATCGAGACATAAGCAATACCACCTCAAACTGGATTAGACCTTTACCTTCACTGCAAGGGGCCGAACCAGTATAAACTCCCGTGTCCTTTGTCCCGTTTACCCCTTTAAACTACCTACTTGCGATGGCTCCACGACTAAGTCCTTTTGCTAGGACATCTGTCGTGACCTTTCCACGACAGTTGGCGCCCACCGTGGGGACAACGCATGGTGGTTTCGAGTTCTTAAAGGGCAGCTTTGCAGGGCTCAAGGGATACGCTGTAGGCCGGATGACCAAGAGTCGTC